TGGTTTTACTGTGTACTTGGATGGTATGAAATCTGTTCACATGAATGCAGTTGGTTTTCAGCTAACAGGAATCCATCTACAACCTTTCCTCTAAATTGTATAAATTGCCCCCAACTATGGGTGGAAATGAGTGTAGATTTTCCCTGATAGATTTCATGAATTGTGTGGAACTTGATAGCTCCTAATCTAAATGATGATAACAAATTATATATTTTTTTTCTCTTGACACACAGCTGAAAAAATGTTGGCTAGGAAAGTCCCTGAACTCGGAACGTAATAAAATAATCGACTCTCTTGCTCTAGGCTGCCTGAAATATGCTCAAGAGTCAAGCAATCCAATCTCGGATTCAGCTCTTGGGGGAATTGAACAGAATGCTGCAGGACACTTTCCTTTTGCATGCATTGCAGATATCATACTGTCTGCTCCTTCACTCATTTGTCTAACGGAGAAAGAGGAAAAAAAAGATTTATTATGCATATAGATGACCGTGACTCGCCAGTGGCAAGAGTCCTCATTTCACAGAGCTGGCGGTACATCAGTAATTAGGTAACTGATGGATAGCTCCACATGCCAAACACAACAGCTTCTGCTTATTAATTCAGAATTTCCTACCTGTCTGTTAAATCGTCACTATAGGTTTTAGATCACAGACACAACTGCTTGAAAAGACGTATTTATTTTTTGAAATTTTTTTTCCAGTCCAAAAGCCCAAAACAGATTCCCCCATCCACTAAACAGAGTAGATGGAGGAACCTCCCACTGCGGCTATTATATTTTGACAGCCCTACCGGCTGTTAAAATACCTAAACAGTTCCTGCATCTTACTGGATTTGGTCCACAGCTTCAGCCTTGCTCCTTCAATTTTTCAATTGAAGGATGTCGGGCGGGAAGCGGAAGACAGGATCACCAACGGAGCACATTTTGGTTGGCTCTTGATGAACTGGCCAAAATTCGCTCAGTATGTAGCCAGCTTTACATGTGATGATCTTTATTGATGTTTACTGCAGCTTACATTTTATGTAAGTATAGCGCAAGCCGGCATGACGTGCTGCCTGACTTTCTGATTGGCTAGGAAGCCGGCTTCACTTATTGCTAGGAGCCTGGCTTCCGGACCAATCAGGATAGTGGATGGCACCTCCTGACCCGCCGCCCGGCTTACTGATTGGTCAGGAAGCCAGGCAGCCTCGGCAAGTGAAGCTGGTGTTCTTTCGATAGAACACCGGCTTCCCAGGCAATCGGGAAGGTCACGATCCACCTCCTGGCTTCTTGATAATTGGGGAACTCGGTATCGGTGAGTACGGGGAAAAAAATATCGGTACTCAATACCGAAAAAACTGTATCTGTGCATCCCTAGTGGACATGCTACCATTTGGTTGGAGACCGGATTACGTGCTGCCGAGGACCAGAAAAATGCTTCAGATAAACGAGACTGGGGGTATGTTACATCATACTAGTAGAGATCACTTCTATTAGGGCTCAGTCACACTAGATGCAGTGCGTTCCAGCCCCGATTTTGGCCGGAACGCACTGCCTCGCATTGCGGCCAGCTCACTTTTTAGTGGGGTAGGAGGGGGCGTGGCGGGACATTCAAGTGAATGGCGCCGTAGCCACGCCCTCTGGCCGCAATGCAATCCGCCGCACGGGATCGCAAGGCACGTTGTGCCTGCGGTCCGGCCCTGTGCGATGCAATCAAAATAGTTCATGTAGCATTTTGATCGCACCGCACAGGTTCGGACCGCAGGCACAATGTGCCTTGCGATCCCGTGCGGCGGATTGCATTGCGGCCAGAGGGCGTGGCTACGGCGCCATTCACTTGAATGGCCCACCACGCCCCCTCTTACCCCACTAAAAAGTGAGCCGGCCGCAATGCGAGGCAGTGCGTTCTGACCAAAATCGGGCCAGAACGCACTGCATCTAGTGTGACTGAGCCCTTACCCCTGTACAAATCAATGTTTCCTTTCTCACTAGAGACTGGGATCCAAGGGGCTTCACAATAAATAGCTTCTTACCATACACCTACAGCTTTTTCCAATGCTTGCAGCAAGTGGCTGATTGGAATTCAGCGAGTGTTTTGAGAGGCGTCCTGAATACTTGAAAAACACTCCGAAAGCATGCAGATAGGTTGTTACATCACAGCCAAAGTCTAGCACATAAAGCTCAAATAAAAACCTTGAAAAGCAAGACAAGCCTAAACGTGTAAAAAAAAAATATAAGTGCACTTTTTTTTGTGCAACACATTGCAGCCCACGTTGTACATTCATATACATGCATTGGTTTGTGATGTCCGGGTATTATTATTATTATACAGGATTTATATAACGCCAACAGTTTGCGCAGTGCTTTACAATATAAGGAAGACATTACAATCACAATACAAATCAAGACAAGATGGTAAGGAGGGCCCTGCCCACGAGGGCTTACAATCTACATTGGTCAATACTGTATATGTTCATTGGAGTGCCATTTAGAGCGCGTAGATGTGAACACAAATGTTTTTTTAACCAGTAAAAGGTTATCTAGGTGCGGCCCAGAACCAAAATAAAGTGTTACAATCTTGTGCATTGTTACACCTGGATGGAAAATGTAAGCCCTGAGCAGTAGGTTGTGTCCGCTGTCTGCGTTCCAGAGCTCAATTTTCAACTCCGACTAGAAAGTCCCTGTCACATCTTTAAAACTATATAAATGCCACCAGCCAGGGTGAGGAGTCTCCGCTGTTAATGAATGTATGCTTAGCCCGTAACGGATTACGTGAAGTCGTCCTACAGCTGTGATCATGTCAGGAGAAGAGAGAGACTTTGAAATGTCTTTACATACGGGCAGACCTGCTGTATTAGGAGACATTTAAGCTGCTTTGTACTGAAGAAAACTGATTTGTAGGGACCCAGCACAGATGGCAGTTTACTCCTTGTCTGAAATGTGATTCTTTTTAATTTCCCCAGGGCTCCTGCTGTGAAATACGTCTCGGTAGGATCTTTTGGGTCTTTCCGATCTCATTTTCACTGATTTTCTTATCTAAAATCAAATGAAATCTGATTAGAAAGCTAAGTGGCAGCCATTCGATGTCCGAGGAGGACAGATATCCCCCGTCTCTCAATACTTGCTATGACGGCGATATTATTACTACCTGCGAGATAAGTCACAGCCCTGATAAAGTCCATAGGACATGTTCAACACGAGACTTTGTGATTCCACACACTGCGTCCTTCACGTTGACCTTCCCCTCTAGAGATTGTCATTTTTGTTCTGCAGACACTGCGTTTCTAATACAAATGACCTCAAAGTTCTTTTTTCAGTAGATTGTTATTGTGAAGGATCTCTGGTCTAATGGAAAAACAGAACATTGTTTCATAGAGATACTGTGGAGATTAAAAAGTAGAACCAGTTGAAACTTTCACCTCCATCCTGGGGGACAGCCAACGTGCAGTCCATGCCTGACGCACTGTATCTGTCCTGAGCCCTCAGCTAAATCATGCTGATTTACAACACAACTTCCACTCTCATTATTGAATACATTTTAATGTGCATAATGACGGGCTGGACAAATCCCAAAAGCCAGGTCGCCCTTGCTTCTTAAAATTTACAACCGGTGCCTAACATTTGAGGTTTTCTCTAGTTGCTGTCAATGGAGCTTAAATGCTCATTTAATTGGACCTGTTGAACTTTTGGGAAGTCCATCTTCAGCCACTTTTTTGGATTGAATGGGAAGACTTTAGAACCTCCGTAAAGTTTTTATTGTGGTCTCTGCAGGGTGATGTATCTTTTTACCTTCTATTCTGAAGACAGGGTATCACAAAAACAGGAGATGATGGGAAATGTCTCCAGTGAAGGGACTTAGTCATCAAAAAAACATTTATTTAGCTGATTGGGGAAAGGGTAGACCTCTGATTAGTTGTTATTGTGGTCTGTCTCCCTGACTTGCTAACCTCTGTTCCCTTAATTACTTGCCCCGGTGTCACCTGGACAGGAAGTAAAGGATTATCCCCAAGGGAACATAGAAAGCATGAAAATCTGATGGAGGATCTGACCTTTCCACAGTCTATCCAAAACTGATTTAAATTGCCTAATACATTCTATAGGGCGTTGATTCACAAGACCATCACATTACTATCGATTTTTTTATGAATGCCTATTATGATATCGGGCTTCTGATTTTATAATTTTTTTAATTTAGTCTCTTAACGGTGTCTAATATGCTGGAAAAATAGACAATTTTTATCTGTGAGGGGGGAAAAAGGCTTTTTCTGCTTGTGCACAGCATTCGTCTCTTTATAAGAGTTGGGAAGAAGATCGCAATGAGTCCTGGTGGGGTACACGCAGTTGGTGTATGGGTAGTTCTCTCACTACTTGGTCTGCTCATATGTTGCCATCCTTAGGCTGGCCATACGCCCATCAATTTTTTTCGTTTAACCTGCGGGCTGAACGAAAAATAAATTGAAATGATCCGATTCTTCCATCAACACAAACAACGTGGCGATCGAGGATTCTCGTTGTTTACATTGTATTCTGACAGGTGCCGCTAGCCACTGTCAGGATACCCTACCAGTTTGGGCAGCTCATTGGCTGCCGGCTTTGAGGGCTCGAAAATTTTCCAGCAGGCTCCTTCGATCAGCTGATCGTGGAATGCCGGCTAAAAGGGAGCCGGCAGCCCCATTCACTGTGCGAATTTCAGCCGGTACATTAAAAACCGGCAGAAATTCAACCAGTACATGGGCACCTTAAGAATTGTAAAATGATTGCAAGTTAAATATTTTACACAGGTAGCCTATCACAGGACAGAAAGAACAGGTTCTAAACTTCAACTTTTCGAGGTTACCATTAGTTCATGGACAGTGAATTGTGACATTTCTGCAGAAAATAGAAAAATGTGGCCTGTAACCTGGCCCCAAGCTAGAACGTTGATTAAGAAGGAATGTACACGTCTCATGTCATTCAGCCTTTACAAGCAGGTATTCAAGATGTTAGGGACTGCTGTGTAAATGGTGTTATCTCTTTCCCGCAGGCATTTGGACAAGTCCATAGTAACCATAAGAAGGTGGCAGCAGATGGGGAGAGTCGAGAGGAAACGCTGATACAGGAATCCGCAACCAAGGAAGAATATTACATGAAGAAGGTCCTTGAACTGCAGACGGAGCTGAAACAATCCCGAAATGTTGTTGCCAACGCGCTATCTGAAAATGAGCGCCTCAATTCACTTGCTCAAGAGCAGAAGGAGGTAGGAACACAGAATTATTGGGAATGAAAGCAAGCTGGTATACAATGACTCAGATTCAAAAAATCTGTCTCATTTTGTATTGCCTGTTGTAGGGCAATCATAAAATCCATTAGGAATTGGAACAAAGCTTACAAAATAATAGCTAGCCAAGCTGGAAAGAAAAGTGGGGTCTTGTTCTTTGTTCACACAGCTTCCCTGTGTTGTGACTGCTTTATCTGAACAGGATTTCTCCATATCTGGCCTAGGCACTCCTTACATAAAGGGTCTTGTAGTGACTCTGCCACTCAGAGCTAAACTCCAGGCAGATATAAAATACACAAATCAAAGCAGCTTGGTATTCATTCAGTAAATTATTTTATTATACATTAAAGCGGCGTAAATACCTGCATTTGACTTGCAATTCCCTGTTCAGCAGAGCTTAGACTGGATAGGGAGAAGTGACGCATTCTAGCAAGCTGGGTAAACTGGATAAAGCCTTTGCCAAGGTTTGGACCTCTTACCCAGGGGTCTAGAAAACAGAAGTGGCTTTTATGTTATGCAAGGAATAACATGATTGCTCCTGAAACAGTAATCATGTGTTTCATTGGACAAAAGGAGGCATTTGGCCAGCAAGAGCAATGAGAAAATAACACACAGACATTTACAAATAGGGTCAAAGCGTGCAAAATATTCACAGTGCTAACCTATTTGGCAGCATACTATCCAGAGTACATATCACCAATTAAATCTTTTTCAGCCCCATGTGAGTTTAAAGCCCAACTCCAGGGAAATTAAAAGTTTTCCCTTGCAGAGGGGCTCCTCTTACAAGGGTAAACTACTTTGATTTCTGCCTATGAGATGGGGAAAAAGTTGTTTTAGTTGCCTGAGCCCCACTCCCACTGGCTCCTTCTTGGCTGCTAGACCTGTCCCCTGAGCCTCTGCTCCCCCTCGCTCCGGTGGTCTAAGGACCGCTGACGCCATCAAGTAAAATTGCAGGCTCCATAGCCCTGCTGTGTGTGTCAGGACGAGGAGAGGGACAGTCCACAGGCGGGGCAGAGAGGGAGAAGAGTGGAGAGCTGACTTCTGGGTAAGAGGGAATCGGGTAAGTAAAACAGCTTTTTCCTTTCCCCTAGGCATAAACAAACAGGTAACCCTTGCACCCTGGGGGCAGCCCCACTGCAAGGGAAAATGTTTCATTTAATTTCAGTTAGGCTTTAACATCCTAATGTTCTTACCACAGTCCTATGGACACACATACTGTAGAAGCAACTTGATCAGAGACCAATTTATGCACCAATGTGTAGATCATAGAAAACAACTGGGGTATCTAAGGAGCCCAAACTGGAGGGAAAACCTAAAAAACCCATGCAGGAAGACTTACAAACCCTTGCTGGGATTAGATCCAGAACTCAAGTTGTTCAAGGCAAGAGCAGTCACCACATTACATAGCGATATTTGCATTTGTCAGCCGGCTGATTATCTCAGTGCTGTGCGTGTCTTTATTAAACAGGAGCAGTCTGGGTTCCTCTGACCACATGACTCTCTGCAAACACGGGCCACTTGAAGGCAGCAGGAAGGTGACATTACTTAATGAAGTGGAAATGCAAATAGTGCTTGACATGAATTCTTGCGCCACAAAATTAAATGCAAACTAGAATTGTTTACTGAAGGGAAATGTCAGCCAAATCCTTGGCAGCTCGCTCCTACCCATCTCTGAACATCTTAACTTGCTCTTTCAAGATGCTGGCTTCTAGCTAAGTGCATAGAAGACTGAGGCTCATTTATATATAACTACAGGAGATGAAAAGCATAGGAGTCATCCATAGCCTCATTTATAGATGACTAGAGGAGAGGAAAAGCCTAGGAGTCAGCCATAGCCTCATTTATAGATGACTAGAGGAGATGAAAAGCCTAGGAGTCAGCCATAGCCTCATTTATAGATAACTAGAGAAGAGTGAAAGCCTAGGTGGGATTTATAGCCTGGCCTTACCCGTGTGTGACCTCTCTGGGTCTATACCTGTGTGAGGAACACGTCCTAGATGTTCTTATCAATGGCTGCAGAATAGAGACCTCTGTAAATTTAAAGGGTGTTTCCACTTATTCGACCAGCTTTGAGGAACCCCCTTGATATGTTTGTGTTTGGGTTCTCATTCACACAGCATACCTTAAAATATTTCTTACCTTTTTGAGTTTTTTCTTTGGTGCAGGATTATTGGACTCTACAGGAAGCTTCTAGTGGTTAGAATAGATGTCTGTCTGTGAGCCGATAAGGGACAGACAGGTAGGATTTTTCAGTCCTGGAGTTTGCAGAAACACCATTTTATGTTTTTTTAAGTTATTCTATGCGAATGTATCAGGAAGTAGTTCGGAGGAGCCCAGATGAAGGGGACATGCCAATACAAATGGAACCTCCACACGAGTAAACCTGGGTAATGCACAGTCTCTCATGTGGTGGTGACCAGCACAGGAGCTGTCCGGAATGTCGTAGCCAAATCGATATCCAAAGTCGTAGTCCGTGAGAGTAGCAGGGGTCAGGGGCAGGCAGCAAAATTCATGGTCCGGAAGTAAGCTAGGTTCGGTACACAGGAAATACAATACAACTATACGCTAGGCACTACGAGGACAAGCTCTGTAATAACCAAGCACAGAATGATGTGTAAGGCTAGTATTTGTACCTGCTAACGTTCGGGTGCGGTCATCTCCAGAGGCGGGGTTCTTCCTTAAACGTTATGCGCTGTACCTTTTAAGACGACACACAGTGTGTGCGTGCGCACTACACGGCGTCTCCACGCGGCGGACATCACAGAGCGGCGGGGAATGGAGGAGACAGGTGCCGCTGGACTCGGGGCTGCGGATAACAGTGTGTCCGACTTCCGGCTGTCTGCAGGGACACCCTTCCGTGGCACAAAGGTAGGTATTGCAGAATGGGAACATGTAACAAATGTAAACTAGGTGTTATCCCAATTTGGCTAAAAAAGGGGAAATACACTTTAAAACGTGAGCAAAGTTCCTTATGTATTTGCAGCGGCAAAGTTATTTACGCTGGCTGATATTTCTGTGTTCTCATCCACCCTTATAACCCACAGCCTGCATTCAGCTTCTGGGTGGTCTCAACACCAAAAGGAAAAACACGTTTTCCAAAATGCATAATGTTACAAAGATCAAAGCTGATCTTCATAAAATAGGTAAATCTTTGCTACTACTTGCATACTGGAAGTATTCTTTTAAAGAACCAGTCCTTCCAATTTAATTTAATGCTGAGACATGCTCTAGACCAGTGGTTCTCAACCTGTGTAATCTCAGAACCCACATTTGTCTTTAGTCATTAAGTCGTGACCCAAGTCACACTGCAATGGAACGCATGGCATTAGGCATTAGGATACCACGAGGTCCGGTACGGGAATACGAACTGTGGGTGGGAGATGCTTTTGGGGAACCATTAAAATGTCAACACAAAACACCTTCCATACCAGAATGCAAGTTAGGTGTGATTTGCATGGTACAGTGCGTTAATGCACTGTACTAGTGTGAATGGCCCTCAAAAACACTCGCATCTGTACACAACCACAGACACAATCTCACACACTCAGACATTCTCACACACATACACACTCCCAAAAATGTTTTAATTTTTTTTTAAGGTCCACCCAGTCTCCCTACCTTACGAGAACTGGAGTGGATCTTCAGCCTGGGGGTCCACTGTGTGCTGCTATATTGTGACAGAGCTCCATCCATATGTGCAGTGCTTGTACAGCTCCTTTGCGTGCCCTATAGAGGTGCCGTGAGCCAGAACGTGATGTCACTCCGGTCCATGAGGGAGCTTTAAGCAATGCATGTATGGATGGAGCTCCCTCGTGGCCATAGCCCCATCCCATCACACCTCAAGCTGATATTCGGCTCCTGGCAGCATATTTTAAATGGCTGCTTGGCACGAGAACTGACAGTGCTGCACTAGGGGAGGCTGAGAAGCTTCTCGCCTGGAAAAGTGGAAGGCATGCCGTGACCCTCTGAACAGGGGGTCGCGACCCACTTTTGGGTCACTGCAGACCAGTTGCGAACCGAGGCTTTAAAGTGTATGAGGATTGATTTTTTTTTTCCTTTCCCTCCCCAAACTGAAGTAAGAATGTTTGGCTATAGACAGACAGTTATTACCAGTTCTTTGTATATCATATAAAGTCCCAGTCAATGTAACAATGGCTCTCACAGCTTGATACGCTCTCTAACAACATACAAATAAAGATCCACAGATGTTTTTCCCCCGTATTTAATGCCCCTTTATAAATATCTCTCTATAAATCTCTATTCACATTTCAACTTTTTTTAACTTTTTTATTACTGTGGATAATTGAAGAGTGTTTTTGTCTGGTTGCTGCATTTTCAAATAACACTTGTTATGCAGTTAATACTCTTTCACTCGGTTTTGTGATAATTGCCCTAATTATCAGGGAGGCTGATTGTCATGGTAATTTTGTCTACATTCACTGGCACTCCGTCGCATAGCCCTGCTCTGGATCCCTTTTTATACATCAAGAAATTCCGAGCCTTCATTTGTAAATAAAGAAAGCCGCATTTACAAATGTTCTCTTTCAAATGAGATTGCTTTAAGGAGATATTAGGGCTGATTCTTAGAAACTGGAGCCATTCCCCTTTTTGAACAATGAAAACAAATATCCATAAAATGAAACCTAATTGGTTACTGTTGGCAAAAGTGTAAATTTTGTGCTCCTTTTCTTTTCTCCATTGTTTTTGAATCCACACCCATTGTATTTTATGGACTCCTATTCCATCATAACCATGTACACTGCCTGGCCAAAAAAAATAAGTCACCACATGGATTTGGCTAAGCAGATAGCAGAGCCTTCCCTTAGATCAGTGGTGGCGAACCTTGGCACTCCAGCTGTGCCAAAACTACAAATCCCAACATGCATCTGCATCTGGGAGTTATGTCTGTGGCTGTCAGAGCCTTGCCCTCATGGGACTTGTAGTTCCAAAACAGCTGGAGTGCCAAGGTTCGCCATCAC